TTTCAGTGCTGTGGTTTGCGATCTCAGGGTATTCTGTCATGACTTTAATCCAGAACACCGACAGAGTTGTTGTCTCGAACATACTTTTAAGGCCGCCGTCATTTGCGGTTTCCAGCAGTTGATCTTCTTCTTGCACAGACCTGCTGGATTCACCTGGTTTGTTGACAAATGGGTTGCGGATCCATTCCTTGGCCGTTCGTGGGTCCTTTGTGGTTGGGAAGTAGCGCTCGAACTCTTTTAAAGGCAAAGACAGGTGATCGTGCACCAGCTGGGAGAATGAAGGCTCTGGCTCAGTCTCACCCAAAATCCCCGCTAATGTTTGAAACATGTCCAAAATGCCTCTGTTGACGCGCCGTCCCCACAAATCCAGTTTGGCTTTAAATGCAGCTACTTTATCTGCCAACTTGAAGACAGTTGTCATTTTCCCCTGAAGTGACAGATTGAGTTCATTGAGCAGGCTGAATATGTCGCACAAGTAAGCCAGTTTTGGCGCTCAAGTGACCGAGATGTAACCGAGAGAATACGGTCATTTTTCAAAATAAAAGATCGTTCAGACTCAGATAATAAATAAAACGGAAATAATTAATGATTTCTTGTACGGCCCGGTACCAATGGATCCACGGACCGGTACCGGTCCGCGGCCCGGGGGTTGGGGACCACTGATATACAGTATATCTACTGTACAGATCAATCCTTGTGTTAAAATTACATGGTGACTGTCTTAAACCTCATTTATGATGTTGTCAAACTCCTTCTGCATTTCCTCTTTTATCTCCCCAATCTTATCAGATGGTACAGACAGGTCGGTCATCTCATCCTCAAACTCCTGTAGCAGGTGTTCATCCTCATCTCTCTCCTCCTCGCTGTGCTTCTGCATTACCCTCTTGGCTTGGTTTTGTGCTCTCTAAAAACAAAAACATGCAGCACTGAATAGGAGCATCCATACATTGTGCAGAAAAAGAAATATACTCCAAGAGAAGAACCAAGAGATGTCTGAGTAACTTGGCAGGTACTGACCTTTCGGTTACTCTCTTTGAGATGCTGGACAAATTTCATCAGGTCTGCTGGGTCAGTGATGATTTTAAAGTTGAATTTTTCTGCTAAGAGAGATTAATTTCAAAGACAGAAATTTCTGGGCAACAAACAAAAACATGCAGAACAATTCACCATGAAGTACTCCACTGGGACAAACAGTTATTCATTATGCGGATTAAAAAACATAGCTGCACAGAAATAACAAGTCTAGTTTTATCATTCATATTTAAACCTCTATAAAGCAGGACATTAAATCAGCCCTGCTACAAGAGATCTGAATGACTGTAAATGGCATCAGTTTTCCTCGTGTGTGTGTGTGTGTGTGGGAAAGAGAGAGAAGCAGCAAACTGCACTACCTTCATCACCATCTATGACTTCATTGTCTGTAAGTGAGTTAGAGACATCATCTGCTGCCTGTGAAAGGAATTAATAATCAGGTTAGTGCTGCAAAATGGAAAATTGTTCACCTACACCCTCTGATGGCCAAATGGATTCAGACTTGAGAGGAATCTTGATTAAAATCCCCAATTTGATATATATATATATATATACACACACACACACACATATATATATATATATTGTTCACAGTTATTTGGAGACAGTTTTAGAGAATATTTACAGCAATAAACTATCATTTTGCAGTTTTACAATTTATTATTTTTGCCTGGCTAAAGCAGAGCGATTACCAAAATGTACCAGGTTAAAATAAGATAAGATGTACAGTCAGTGTAATACATTGCAGACTTTCTATACTGTATTCAAATATGATTAGCATTTTCACTTTGTGGTTAGTTATTAAGAAGAGTTTAAAAACTGGAAATCACTGAGTTACAGCTTTCTTTTGGTTTGCGTATGTTATGATAATATTCCACTGTAATTGGCTCTCATCAGTCAGTAAGTCAAAATAAAACCTATCACATTACCAACTTTATGGAAATTTAAAAAGTCTGTCTGTCCATGAAATCAGGGTGGGACAGTTCACAGAACTCAATTGGTTCATTTTTAGGATCAGCAAAGTAAAAAATTTAAAAAATAAGTTAAAAAGGGGGATATAACTTTGATTTCATTAATTACTTAAAGAGCCTAAAAAAAACCCCAAATCCACACCCCTAGCTATACCTTTGCTGTGAGTAACACTTGTTTGAATGTAACAACTCCATCACTGAGCTCCCAAAACTCAGCCTTTCATTCACTGCAGCTGTATGGACTCTAGTGAGGCCTTATTAATTCAAGTGAAAAACTGATTCTAAAACATAATTTTATACCTGGCTTTCCTCTTGAGAAGCAGTTGTTTCTGAAGTCCCTGGTTTTGTTACTCCCTCCCAGAAATCAGAATCCTCTGCCTCTTCTATCCCGGCATCCCCTGATACACCTAATGTATCTGTTTCAAAATAAATGCAGGCATTCTAGTCACAAAAAGGCTTTGTAAATTCTATAATAATAAGTGCAACTAGAGAATTGCATTTTCTGAAGAAAATGCGTATGGATGCTGACTGCTGAATGATCGCCCTGAAAATGCTGAACATTTTGACACCTGAATGCTGTTGATAGCTGAAAGTATGCAGAAGTAGAGGTTTCCCATTCATTTGAATGGGTGAAAATTTTCAAAATAAAGCTAAATATTTTAAAAGTATGAAATTTAGAAAACGTTTGAAGAGAAGCATGAATGTCCTTGAAGAGCTGAACATTTTGATAGCTGAATGTATGCAGAAGTAGAATTTCCCCATTCATTTGAATGGGGCAAGATTTTCAAAATAAAGCTAAATATTTCATAAGTATGAAGTTTACAAAAGTTCTCAACAGAAGCAAGAATCTCCTTGAAGAGCTCAACATTTTAATAATTGAAATAGCTGAAAGTATGCAGAAGTAAAAATTTTCCCCATTCATTTGAATGGGGCAAGATTTTCAAAATAAAGCTAAATATTTAAAAGTATGAAGTTTACAAAAGTTCTGAAGAGAAGCATGAATGTCCTTGAAGAGCTGAACATTTCAGTAGCTGAACTAGCTGAAAGTATGCAGAAGCAAAAATTTCCCCATTCATTTGAATGAGGCAAGATTTTCAAAATAAAGCTAAATATTTCAAAAGTATGAAGCTTAGAAAACTTCTGAAGAGAACCATGAATGTCCCTGAAGAGCTGAACATTTCAATAGCTGAAATAGCTGAAAGTATGCTGAAGTTGAATTTTCCCATTCATTTGAATGGGCAAAATTTTGCTAAAAAACACTAAATAGTTCAAAAAGTATGAAGTTTAGAAAAATTTTGAATAAATCTGCGCATGTCCTGAAAAAGCTGAACATTTTGATACCTGAATGGTTTTTCTAGCTGAAAGTATGTGGAACTAGTTAAGGGCCAAAAAACGTACGAAAAAATAATAATAATAACTAGAAAATTGCGTTTCTAAAGAAAATGCGTATGGATGCTGAGTGCTGAAAGATCACCCTGAAAATGCTGAACATTTTGACCCCTGAATGGTTTTGCTAGCTGAAAGTATAGTGAAGTTGGAATTTCCCATTCATTTGAATGGGGCAAGATTTTCAAAATAAAGCTAAATATTTAGAATGTATAAAGATTTGAAAAGTTTTGAATAGTAGTATGAATGTCCTTGAGGAACTGAACATTTTGATAGCTGAAATAGCTGAAAGTATGCTGAAGTAGAGGTTTCCCATTCATTTGAATGGGGCAAGATTTTCAAAATAAAGGTAAATATTTAAAATGTATAAAGCTTAGAAAACGTCTAAATAGTAGTATGAATGTCCTTGAAGAGTTGAACATTTTGATAGCTGAAAGTTTGCTGAAGTAGAATTTTCCCATTCATTTGAATGGGGCAAGATTTTCAAAATAAAGCTGAATATTTAAAATGTATGAAGTTTTGAAAAGTTCTGAATAGTAGTAT